GAATACATTTCATATAGAATTTTATTCATAAGTAGATTTTTTGAGGCTACCAGTAGATCAGAAATAGGAGCTCGAAAAACCTACATATGGAACGTGAAATAAGTAGTGCAATCAACGGTTATAGCAAATAAAACTTTGCTTAATCGACAATCCCATCACAGAATGTAATATGGGAAAATGACTGGCCTTCCTTAAAATTCACATCTTCCCTGTGACCCATTATGGCAATGTGACGTAGAGGTCAACGTGTCAAAATTATACACTGCACTACCACAGCCATGGCTCGAGTCTCGCCAGGAATGATGATGGGAGCAGTTCAGACGTCGTCGAAACTGAAGTCCTCTTCAGCCTGGATGAGAATAGCTTTTGCGAATATAGGCTCTATGGAATTCAATAAAAACTTAAGACCTACTCATAGCATTGTGCTAAAATCCAAATACCAGTCCTTCATCACATTAAACGGAATAAGATGAGTACAGTTATTATGCAGATTGTGAGGCTATCAACAGATGATGTATATGAGATGTATTCGTGCAATTTCGTCTCAGCACCATTGTGCATTGTGCAACTGTTTCGATATTTCGCAAATCATGGCTCACAGAGGCACAAAAGTTTATAGCCCACTGATGTGTAGAATCTGTATAGTTTTGTGTGAGTCTTCAAACGTAGTAGCGGGCCAACATAGGCAAAACTATACGATTTATATGAAATTTATTCATGTCAATTTTCTCACAATCATATGAGTAGAAATCTTGATTCAACGGAAGCGTGTGGCCTACTCTTATGATTGTAAGAAACTTCAACTACTAATCATCCATCTTCTTAAAGGGAATGAGGTGAATACCTCTCATGAACGTGGGCTTCCCAATGCAATCGACGATGTTACTCAATTTCGATGTGGCTAGCCTTCGAGATTATCAGAAATTCTCGAATAAAAACTTTGTCGGTCAAGATCGCTGAAGGTGATTTAAAGACTAATATTCGAGTTCTCATACGTTACTTACAATGAGGGTACTAAGTATGCCTAGTCGAGGTTATGACTGCCGTTTGTTACGGACGGAATGCGATAACCTTTTAGGAAGCAGTTGTGAAATTCACTGTGAAATTCAATTGCATAGTGAGGTCTACTGAACTGATGATGGCAAAAACTCAACTATCGACATTAAATCACCTTAAGTGACTTAAGCTAAGATCTTATACAATTTCAGTCATGACTTTTCTTTGGGTCATTCAACCTTAATGTTCCAGGGTTGAGGTTCTTTTATGTTTGTTTTTTCTATTTTTTTTGACACTCATACAACACCCTCTCCCTCTCACACTGTGAGCAATAGGAAAGATAACTAACCAAATCATTCTATATCTATCTATATCTATATATTTTACTTTTGGGTTTTGTGTATTTATAGAATGTTAGGAAAAGCCGGAAGGTCTCATTGCTCTACTAGTAACTTTAAGCTTTTGCAAAATGAGCCCCAGTTGTGAAGATTTTCTTCAAGTGGCATGAACATTTTTCTCCAAAACGAGAAGGCCTTGTGGCTTGCGTCAACCTGAAGGTCATAGTAAAGCTGAACGTCCGAAGAGCCACATTAGTCAAGGGTCGTCTTCTGGTGAGAACGACCCATGAAGCTCTTCATCAGACACATTCAAGCAAACTGAATGTCACCGCAAAAAGGTTATCTCAGGCGAATCATGGAAGCCTAGTTACTTGCCTGGAGACGTGTTGGAAACCGAGGCAGTAGCAACGGCGGCAGAGGAGGAAGAGGAGACGGAGGCTGCGTTGGCGCTGACAGAGAGATCTGAGGCTCCACAAGGCGTAGCCGGAGCCGTAGCGATGGCAACACCACCGGCGGAGGGACTGTTGGAAGCCTGATTCTGCCCTCCGGCCGAGGAGGAGGCTGTAGTGAGAACAGTGGAGGGGGAGTTCGAGAGTGACGCATGGCCTCCTTTAGCTTGCAACAAACCGCTTGGCGAGTTGCCACAAGGGATCTGATTTAATTAAAATTAGATAAAGTCAGATAAAGTTGCATAGAAATGCTGATGAGACCATAAAAGAAGATTTAGAAAGAGAAATATCATTTAATGATGAATGAACATAAAAAGAATATGATAATTGATTAAGCATATAGAAACGCAAATGCATCAACTGTGGCATGCTATGAAAAGATATCATCGTTTTCAGAAAAAAAGGTAAAATGATTCCTACTTATTCCTTGCCAGTAATATGCTCCAAGGCTAACACATAGCTTTAGAAACCGAAAATATAGAGTGTGACTTTGACTCATTTAAACTTTCTTATTAGCCTATATCCATCACTGTATCAAAAACGAATTTCATTCGTGAATAAGAATTGTTTATGTGAAGAGTAACTGAGTTTCGATGAATCTCCTGAGATAACATTGTTGGGGAGACTTGCATTTCGTATGAAAGTGCATGAAGAAGAGATCCGAATGTCGATCTCACTAGAAGAGGACGGCTGATTCCCGTTATACTGCAGCCGTTTGGTTCTAATAGGACGTTCAGGTTGACGCAGTCCACGAGGAAGCTTCCTTCACTTCAGTTGAAAATGGGCAAAACTTTCTTCCATCATATGATGGACATCATCGGATCTGGTACTCACTCTTGTAAGAGTCTCAAGTTAATCTAGTGTTAGCATCCTCTTCTGGTGAGATCGACCTTCGAATCTCTCCTTCATGCACTTTCATATAAAATGAAAGTCTACTCAACAATAAAAATTGTTTACCGGAGAAAAGCAACTGCCTGTCTGTGCAGTATTACATTTTTGTGTATTTAATCAACCATTATTCTAAGCATAATAAATTCAATTCCACACATGATCATCCAGAAGTAGTAAATTTTCGTCATAACTGAGAAATTCAGCGAGGCCACAGCCAAAATAATGAACTCAGTGCGCCCTAAAATGCATACTTTAGCTTAGTTTTCTAGCATACTGGCTTATATGAAATGGTCTTCAACGCCTTGAAAACGACAGATGGGGAAAATCCCGAGACGACACGTGCGACCATCATTGGTCTTCAGCTGGTTATTGAATGTAAATTTATCGGCTTTTAGATATGAAGATCATAAGAATGGTGCCTTTGATGTGATCGCAGTCTTCCGTCAACCTCGTACTGAAAACTTCACTTTCCTTAAGAATTGAGTCTAACTCGCTTCGTAGCTCAGTCGTATCTTCGTGGGGACCTTAAAGGGCGTATACAAATTGCGTTCTCAGACAATGTTCTTACGCCGCAACACAGTCAGCAGGGTACATCTTAAGGATTTTCGCTAGCAGCTAAGGTGATATGATTCTTGGGCAAGTTTCAGCCTATTATTAAGATTGGCGTTGTGAGCTGACCATTATGCGGACGAAAATCCTGGGAATGCTCATACACATCAGTCTAATTATGGACTAATGTGGGATTAAATAGTGAAGAATGTAGGAGTAGGTACATTATTTGAAGTTTACCGAAAAACATAGGAAAATAACTGATTTGATATTAGTTAGAATCTCTCCGGAAAAATTACTCAGAATTAAAATGAAATTGAAATTCCAGTGATAATTTGATTAAAATTTCGTTCAAGGTGGATGCTGAAGGAACCCGTTAATTGGTCTCACCAAAAGATAATAGTAGCTTTCCTATAATCTACAATTTTATTTTCAAAGAACAGCCTAAGTAGTATACTTCTCGAGACATCCAACTTTAGTTGGATATATATATATATATTATTTCAATGAAACTAGCCTTAGCAATGGGAATCACTCGACGACATCTGGTTGGATCGACCTTCGAAACTCTTCATCATACACTTCACAAGAAAGGTAAGACAGCACAACGACGGTATTTTAGTGAATCCATTAATATCCAGTTAACTTGGGTCGTTCTACTCAGAAAAGAGCAGAACATCTATCAAATTCTTATCAGCATGTGGCATTTTCTCTTTCATATACTTGTTTAAAATTTTCTACTAAATACTCTTGAGTTGATTTGCTTTCTGAGCATAGGATTATAAAGTATGGCATTATTGAAATATAAGTCTAGAATTTTGGCTTATCCGCTCTTTTTTTGAAGGTGATTTAACGGCAGCTCGATCCCTAAGTATATCAATCAAACCCAAATAGCTTTTATACAACGCCTTAACCCATTCTAGCATATGAAATATTCCCTTATTGCGTATTTTAAAAAAGATACTTTATCACCAGAGCTAAAAGAAGAGAGTCCAGAGAAAGGCCTCAATCTAGAGTCTCCTGAAAAATCAAACGCAGACTGACATCGTCTTTTGGTAAATTCGACCTATAAATCTCTCCATCATGCTTCTTTAATAGCATCCCAAGTTAAGCTAGCACCGATGAAATGAGATAGTTCTAGAACACCATCACAGTCAACCGTGGATGATGGGGATGATTAGGAGAGTTTATGAACTAGCAGAAGGAAACATGCTATTTTCTCCTGCACCTCAGATGTGGTTCTTATGAATCAGACTCCGACTCGAAACTTCTTAAACTCTGTTAAAGCAAACCTCTGAGAAGGTATTCAAATAAGTTTTTTTCAGGGCGAAAAAGATTAATTGTCCTCGATAGTGTGATTGACACTATCATCGAGTAAGTCCCTGATGATAAAAAAGCACGACAAATTTCCCTGGATAACCTCTAAAAACGTCCTCTTTCGGAGACGATCACCAAAATTTTGGCGAAAATCTGTAATTACATAATTGCACTTATGAAGACCAAGATGATTTTGCCTCTATTTTTATCACAATCTCCCCTGGTTGCACAGAATTGGTCAACTCTCGTTTATGCAACTTGGCCGCATTACCAGAGAGACTTCGAAGAATGTGCTTTGAAGGGGTTTAGTTTGGTGTTAAGGCTTTGATCACTTCGCCGGAAAAAAATCTTTCATTGTACAAATTTCACTGCCAAATGCTATCAATTGACAAGTCTACTATGGTAGAGAATGCCTGGCAAGGTACTTTATTAGAGGTCGCCTTGCCAACACGACCAGTTTGCAAAAAACGAGGTCAACCCAATACTATAATTATGTTATATATTATATCTTATATTTGTTATATGTTATATTTTGTATAACCAATACTAGGACTGTATATATATATATATTTTGTTATTTATTTAAATATATGTGACTTAAATCCATAAGATATCCTAGAATTATATAAATTTTTAAGTAGGAAGACGAAAGGGCTAGTCAGTGTCCCTAATTCGTGAAAAAAGTCCATCCTTACCTTTCAGTTAAGCAGTCTAAATAAATGTTCAGTCTACTTTGTTAGGCTGAACATATGATGATATGCTTCTTCCCCTCAGAACCTAATAAAACTCACTGCCGGATAGCCTATTTCAGTCTGCAAAAATAAAGAATCTCGTAGATTACCCAGTTCATGGGAAGGGGATTAAAGAGAGGGCACATCTAAAGACGGCAAAAAATGCTAATTTTATTCATCCTTTTCTGCTCGCGGCGCCGATCGGAATGTAAATTATTACACCCACATGTAATAACTTAAGTATGGTCGTTTAGTTTAACATAATAGAAGATGGTGCTCCAGCAAAATAGAGTGATCGATATTCCCTAAAGAAGTGAACTAGCCAAAAATGCACCTAGCTTCTGAGGATGCGAACGTGTTGTTATATTGTGTGAAGAAAAGCTAGGCTTCAAAGAATCCCTTAGTAATTTCATGACACAAAACTTTTATGTATATATGCCACTTTGAGATAGACGAAAGCTCAGCACGAGTTCATCGGAATTGCATGTTAGCTTACCGAAAACTTTTGCACACAGAGCAAACGTCTCAACATCTATACCATTCTTCATCGGTCTCCCGTAAACCTTTCCATTTCATCCAACTTTTTATTCGAAACGAGAGGTCATGTGTTATGAAATGATTAAGGACTTCTTTAAACATAGCTTTGCTTCATATCTTATGTCTAGACTAGTTTACACCCTCAGAAGTTAGGCGCGTTTTTGGCTAGTTCGCTTCCTTGGTAAAAACCAATCACCCTCCTTTACAGAAGCAGCATCA